CAGAGCCTCGCAGTGGAGAAACTGTGACGCGCTGGGGGGGCTAGTGGAGCCTCGCAGATGGGGGTGCTGCAGCCCCCTCAGCACCCCCCTTTCCCGCGTCCATGTAAAGTACCAAAAGTAAAAGTACTCTTTATGCGTAATGGCCGTCGTTTATATATTGATTTACCGGGTTACTTTTAGGATTTTGAAGCTACTTTGAATAACTTTATATACTGCTGCTGGATATCTTGCCCTATAAATATATGCCAACGTCTATTTAATAAATGATATATATTTTGTATAAACTAATAACATTATTAACATCCTTGCTATCATTAATCACTTTTGGCAAATAATCCCAGAGTGCATTTTGTTTTTGGTTTATTTTCTGACATTTGCCTTTATTGTGTTTCTGTGGTTCAGCCGAGGTGGTGGAGGAGAGAGTGGAGAGGCCGTTTGAGAAGATAGAGAGAGAGCGGGAGAGAGAGAAAGAGCGGGAGAGGGAACGAGAGAGAGACCGAGACCGAGAGAGGGAGGAGGTGAGGGAGAGAGACCGGAGGAAGCCCAGGAGGGAGGAAATCGCTCCGTACAGCAAGAACAAAAGAGGTAAAGCATCTTTATCATAAAACAAACATTTTCAAAGTGATGTTTCTTACGTACATGGATCTAACATACTCGCTGTCCTCCAGGGAGAAAAGAAGATGAGATGGACCCCATGGATCCCAGTGCTTACTCTGATGCCCCGAGGTACAGTATATTTACAACAAGCACTCCACAAAATGACTGCCACTTCCATGTAATTGGTAGAGACAGATGGCACACAGTAAAAGCATTAGAGGAATATTGTGACTTTCAGGCTCCAAAAACTTTACTATTCCCACAATGCTATTTAATACGTCTTTCCATTAAACCCTTCCTGCCTGGTAAACGTCATCTTGATTCAAACTCTACTGCCACACGCTTTTGCTTATAAATAGTCTCCAGGGCCAAAATGAATTATTTTCACCAAGCTTCTCCAGAGTCTAAGAAAAAGCTGTGTCTCGCAGACGGCCACTGGGCTCATAGGGAGGGGGGGCAGGAGCCAACCAAGGTAACACCCCCCCCTTATATCACCTGAATCTCCTCTAGAGCACCATTGAGTTCTTTTGAACCAAATCTCTCTCAGAGGGGCGTGGGGAGGGGCTCCTTATTTTCATCTTAAGTAACAGACAGGGAAACAGGGCTGAAACAGAGGGGATTATGGGTAATGCTGCAATGATCTGTTTGGTGTTTCAGCCAATCAGAGACATGTTCTGTATATATCTGAGACCTGTAATGTATTGATGAAAAACAGTATAATAGGGACCTTTAATTTAAACAAGCATTTTTCTCTACAGGGGGAATTGGTCGACTGGCCTGCCGAAGCGTAATGAGGCGAAGACGGGGGCCGACACCACGGCGGCGGGGCCTTTGTTCCAGCAGCGGCCGTACCCGAGTCCAGGGGCCGTGCTACGAGCTAACGCAGCTAACCAAATCCCCAAAGAGTAACCAGAGAAACAACGCACAGATCTACAGTGTACAGTTTGTCTTCCTTTGGCCGTTAGACTGACGTTTAGTTTTCATTCTTAAACCTGTGTCTGGAGTTAAAGTGCATCGACGCTCGTGTTAGAACATTTGTAAATATGTGTTTTATATGACCTGTGTGACAGTGCCCCTTCATTTGCTAATAAACATTACTGTGACTTTTATTTTGGTTTGGTGATACATCTTGTAATAACATCTGTACAAAGAAAGTTCTCGACACTGTTTTATTACAAAATTGCTTTA